CCGTGAGAATGAGGCAAACAATTAACCTTGATTTCCCCTCATTAAACAGGGACTCAACAAAAAGTCCAAGCTGCGCGTGGTCTGGCCCCAATTTGCTCGTCCAGGGTATAAAAGCCGAGCTTGGACTGGACTCGACAGCGCTTACTCTTCTGAGCTCTCACTGGGAAAGCTTTCTCCAAACCCTTCACAGTCGACGAATCGCCAGCACTTCTTACTCTTCAAGATGATGAGACAACTGTTCGTCCTGGTCATCGTGGCCGGAGGTAAGTGCACATAGAAAAATCTTACTCCACATAACTCTTTGTAACACTTGAATTCTATTTAGAGTTGAGTACAGACAGTCAACAACATCTTACTTCACATAACTCTTTGTCACATTTATTTATTTTTATTACGTATGAATAATTTGATGACACAAAGTGACAAACTTAAAGTTTGGCCGAAACGAGTACTATCGTATCTAGAATCGTGATGCACTTTTTTTTAAATCAGAAAACGCATTCTTCATTTAAAATCACCCTTTTTTAAAAAACGCAATATATTTGCCTTTCTTGACAAACGCAACATATATCCCCTGAGCGCCAATCAAATGATTTCCTCGAGTCATGTGACTTTGCTTCAAAAGTTAGTCGGCGGTTCTTTCAGTTCCTATAATTATTGCGAGTCGCATATGGTCGCTTTTAAGGACAAGCAGGCTAACCCAGATTTGGGGGGTTTCCGGAAATTATCTTGACCTACACCAAAAGTGGGTATTGCCCTACCTAGAGGAGAAGTTTGGTTTCATTGGTGTTTATATTATTATTTGTTTGGTTATAGAGAAAACTCTCCTTGTCTAACTGAACAAGGGGAAAAACTTTATCTTCGATTTTCTCACTACAGCGTTTTTCGGGATAGCCCCCTTGTGCTCAAAAGCGACCAATAGCATCAACGTTTCTCATACTTTTTTAAAGCTTGCTCCTATTTCCTGAATTAGAAGATGTTTGTATTTATGGGTTGAGACTGAACAAAATCATGAGACTATTATTCAGGCAAGCATACAGAACGTAGGAAATTAAATTGAAGTAGCTGAGTTGGTGGTACGCACAGTTTACCTAATCTATTTGTTTCCTTATCATTGCAAAGGCAGTTTTATGAGAAGGCCTACTGGTACCATTAATCACTTTAGTCAGATCCAAGATAACTTTTTAAAGACCCATATTATTTGATAAGGATTTGCCTCCTTGTGTATAAAAAAAAAGAAATGTGGATGTGTTGCGTTTTGTCAATTAAAAGGATAGAAACCCACCATAGATTTCCTCAAACAGCAAACATCAGGAACGCCGTGTATCATGTTTACTCTGAAAGTGACAGTATATTCAGGAAATAGGTGAGGAATAAAAATCATAATTTTTTTTCCAAGACTGGAATAAAATTCGTATGACGCGTTTCATCGTACAAATGTTCATATGTTATGTGTGTATATGTTTCACTAATCTGTTTAAGTTGTTTATAGTAATCTATTTTTGTCTAACTTCCTCCTCTTTTGCCTTTCTATTTTTTTTTCAATGGGAACTTAAAGTCTTTCAATGTTGTTTCAAATGTCCTAGGAATGTATGTGTCTCTTCCTGGTTGATTTTTGTTAGCAAGCATCTCCAGCAGGCTTCTTTCAGCACTACTTTATTAGTTGATTTCTTTTCCTTCCATAAAAATCTCAATAGTGCCCGAAAAACCAAATTCTGTCACATCTCGCTTTCACTGTTTTTTATGATTGTCCAGCATCCACAGCTGTATAGAAGGATTGACCACACACAGTCTTGTAAAACCTTTTTTTTTTTATTTGAGTTATCATTGAGACAACAACAACAACGACAACAACGACGACATCAACAACAATAACAACAACAGTTTTAATAAGACCAATACAACAATCACAATATGACTATCTATTAGAAAAACAAAAAGGCAAAAACAGTAGAAACAATAACAATAACAACCAAAACATTGATATTGTGGATCTGATTATGGCTGATGATCTAATGTGGCTGCTCCTTCTTTTTGATCAAACAGCTATTGTCCTTATCGCTCTTCCTCCTTTTCTTTGTGTGTTACTCTCTAGAAACACCCATTATCTTTGGCACTTAAATGATGTAATTGTATTGGAAGTGCCGTAAACCTCTTACTAAAATAATTTAACACTCTGTATGGTTCTCTCACATAACACCTCTAATCTTCGGCACTTATAAGACCTAAATGTATTGTAGGTGCCGTAAAACTTTGACTAAAAACTATCAACCACAACTAAACTGTTGCCATGTGTGCCCTCCCCCACCCCCTACCCAAACAACCAGCCGTGCTCGCCGACAACTACTGGTGCCCCAAGGCCGGCGAGGCTTTCGAGTGCTTCGAGTCGTCCCCCACAGAAAGGTTTTGTCTGACCAACGGACGCGAGACCGCTGTCATCTGCTCCAAGTGCAAGAAGAAGTTCGACTTCTGCCGGTGAGGACACAACTTTTGTCTCATACAACTCTTTTCTAGTTCCCCATCTCCCCAACGTCCGAGTGTAAGCCTCTCGTTTAATCACTTGGGACGTTTACACTGGGCTGTGCTTTTCTATTCCACGTCTCTATAAAAATCACAGGCTGAGGTCTATCGACAGTATTATTTGAATCATCTTTAAAAGCAGGCTGCTTCAAAGATCCCTCTCATGTCCAGCCCTGGGTTGAGTGGAATACAGTGCTCAAATACTTGTAGAAAGACGCATAAACTCCGTGAATTAAATACCTTAAAGTGGGGTTCAAACTCCCAACTACTACGAGTGTGAAGAGAGAATCTATTCACTACAACACTCTGTTATATTCTGCACATAACAAGTTCAGTCACGCTCACACTCACAACATTTAGTGGAATCTCAACCTTAAAATAAAAAGATATCTAAGGGCATGTACAGTAAAACGTTGGCATAACATACACGCTTTAAACGTACTATCGGGATAAGCGTTCATTTTCTAAAGCCCAAGTTCTAATTTGTAGGCCTAGATCTATATGTTCACTCTTTTTGACTAATTGTGTACCCCAGCTAACACGTTGAAAATTGTTGGTCCGAAGAGAGTACGTTATACCCAGGTTTTTCAGTATTTAGAATTGGTTCACTACAACGTAGGAACCTTTTTTTCTTCTCAACCTCTACATTCCCCATATTGTGTAAAGATCTATCAAAAAGCACATATTCCGTATTGGTTCTATTCAGTTTATGAAACCATTTCTTCGCAACTTTTCAAAATTCCCCAAATACTTAACCCATCTTAAGGCACATATTCGGAATTGGTTCATAAAAATGTTAGACAACGGTTTGTTCTCACCTGTTACATTTCCCAAATGCAAATACCCATCTAAATGCACATGATATTCGAAATTCACTGGTTCACACCAATGTTGTACAACGGTTTCTTCTCCAGTAACGACTTCGTCAAATCCAAGAGAGCCGACACTGACTGTGGAGCCGGTTGGGAAAGCACTCCCTGCACCCACGACAACTCACACGTGCCCGCTGTCTTCCCCGGGAAACTTTGTAAGTAGTTCTCTCTATACCAAATATGTCTTTATGTAATATGTATTGTCTATACCAGATACGTTTTAGTGTACTGTCATTACTAGATCAGTTTTAATGTTTTGTCAATGCCAGATACGTCTTAAGCTAAGTCGTAGTGTATCGTCAATACCAGATAAGTCTTAAAGTATTGCAGAGTATTGTCAAGACCAGATAAATCTCCATGTAAGACCAATATCGGATCAGATTCGTCTTAATGTATTGTTCTCGATAAATCTTCTTGTATTGTCAATATGGTATAATGCTCAATTTATCGCCAAAACCAGATATGTCACAGTGCATTATCAACACCAGACAAGTCTTGGTATATTGTCAATACCAGATACGTCTTTGTGTATTGTCAGTACCAAATAGGTTTCAGTGTATTGTTTCATGTACTGCTGTTGCTTATTTTTTATGTAAATGTTGTTACGCTCCCATCAACACAATTTAAATTATGTAGGAGGCGGGCCTCCTACCTGCCTGTCAGGGCCAACCCGGGTTCGTTCTGAGGGATACAACATCCCAACAGAAAGACCAAGTTACTCGATAAAATTGATCTCCCCACTCGGGAATCTGCCTGGAGTCTCCTGCGTGAGAAAGCCAATCCCAAACTGTTACCCCCACAGACACCGGTTTTGCTGTCGTCATGGTCAGAATGTGCATTGTTGTCGGCGCCATAACCCCCCGGCCTCACCATATTATTGTGACCAACGTCACTGCCGATACAATAATCTGGATTATCTTGTTCAGGTTAATTGGGGGGGGGGGGTCCCCTGAACAAAGTATCGTAGCTTGGTGCATACGAGTATCGTAGCTTGGTGCATACGTCGTATTTGCGCTGAGCATCTTTTGTTCAAAATTCTCAATCTTAATTTATGAGCCAAATAAACGAGCGATTGGGCAGAAAAGGGGGTCCTTTTCTCCCCCAAAACCCTTTGGCTGGTGGATGGTGCACAAATAAATGATTGTAGTATTTCCTTTGATACTAGAGTTGTGTTGCACTAAAATTATTGTGTTGTTGAATTAATAGCGTAACTTAGAGTAGTTTGTCTATTTCATGAACTAAGACATGCAATCGCGGGCACATCATTTCAGCGCATCACATTGTATATTTCTGGTTGGACAATTTTTTCAACCCTCAGAATCGTGACTTAAGTCACCAGTACTTGACAAAATGTTCTTTGTCATCCACAGAATATGTGACTTAAGTCACCAGTACTTGACAAAATGTTCTTTGTCATCCACAGAATATGTGACTTAAGTCACCAGAACTTATCCGGAGCAATCTGGACTTTGGACCCCGTGACGGACTTACAGACTGCGGTGTATAAACGTATGAACAAGCAATAAATGAGTTGTGTCTGATTCTACTTTTCTTCACTTTATTCAGCGTATGTTGATTAATGTGTCGCCTCTTATAATCTTATAGTGTTGATAGGGGCGTTAAAACTATAGCGTTTTACTTTCTTCTCTTTATTTTTAGTAATGTGTACATTTCTTTAGACTTTCCAATGCTTGTTAAATAGCTTTTACTTTTCAACATGATGAAACAAATAGAAACACAACCGTGAACACAAAAAATAAGAGCCCTGAACGCACATTACGTGTGATCAATCCTATTGTATTGATCTGAAAACTGGACTCTAACTGAATATACAGAGAAGACTGAAAGCCGCCAAAAATCGATATTGCATTCCTTCAATTTCAAGATACCAATGTCTGTGGTGTAGCGGTTAGGCACTTCGCTGTCGCATGCAAGAGACACGAGTTCGAATCCCCAGTGGAGAGAACTGTTATCGAGTGTCTCGGTCTTTCTTTTGGGATGTTGTAGACGTCTCAGTCCGGGTTGACCCTGACAAGCAAGGTTGGAAGCCTGCCTCCTCCTAGGCGATTTAAATTGAGTCGATGGGGGTGTAAAAACACCAACATCTTTTTTAAAAAAGGATAAAGCGTAACACTGTCAATTCACAACTTTCTCTATCAAAAACAGTTTCCTGTTTCTCGACCTGTTTTGTGGGTGGTTGGTGGGTGCTCTGGTTTGGTTTGCTCCTTCTTTCCTATCAAACATCTATCGTCTTTATCTCCCCTCTTTCTTTTTTGTGTTTGTTACCGTCTTGTGACACCTTTAATCTTCTGGCGCTCATATGACCTTATTATGCAGTTGCGAACGCTGTAAAACTCTTACTAAAACTAAAAGTAGAAATTACAAACACATTTGTTTTGACGAGGTCAGTCGTGGACAAACTCAAACACCGGTTTCTTCGTCGCTGCACACAAATTCACGTGCACTAAGGCGTATACTTACATTCTCGAGTATTTTCGTCTTTTAGCTGGGATACGGGCCCCTCTCAGCCTTGGGTTGGCCCTGACAGGACCACAGTAGAACCCCCCGCCTCCTGAGTGATCTAAATTGTGTTGATGCGGACGTAAAACATCAATTTCCTTTGTCGGTGAAAATGCTTGTTTTGTTTTCGTCAGTGAATCTGGCTCGGCGACTCTGAACTTTTTGTTGTTCTAAGGCGAACAGATTTGGAGATGAGATTGTTCCAAAAATATGTTGAGTGGTGGTAAATGCGTTCATCAAACTAAGAATCAAAATCCATTCATCCTTAGTTTTATTTGCTTGGCCAAAAGACAGTTGCATTAATGACAACTTTCTGAAATGCATCATTGTTCCTAAAGATTAAATGTCTATTATGACATGCGACAAAAAAGGAATGAAATGAATAGAACAAAGTACCTTTCAATGGTTGTATAGCTTTCCCTTTAAATGCAATATGATATTAGTTCTCTACATTTTCATCTCAATGGCCCAAAGAGAATCAGAAGTGTAGATCAAAGAGCATTCGGCGGCGTCTGAGGTGTAGTGGTTGGGCGCTTCGCTGTCGCTTACGGGAGACCCGAGTTCGATTCCTGAGTGTCGAAAATTTGTAGGAAGTATCACAGTCTTTCTTCTGTGAGGTATCCCTCTCAGACCAGGCTGTGCACACGACTCAAATTTAAGTTATTTGAATTTATAATAATATAAGGACTTCGGTAACGTCTCATGGTGTTTTTGACGGCGCCGATGTTCCCAAATTACAGAAGGGAATCAGTGATTATTTGATTACTTAGACGTTTCGCCCTGAACACCGTATTGTGTGCACTGGCAGATATTCGAGTACAGAAACCACATTCTGTGAGCAGCTTTTAGAAGATAAGAACAAGCATGAGTTTGCAATTTATACTGCACAATATTTTATCCTTATGATAAAGGTGCTTATGACGGCTGGAAAAAAATAGTGTGAGTTTTACAGCATTGAAACACTATTATACCATAAGTGCCGAATCTGGAAAGTTTCTTCAATAAACTAATTGGTTGGTTTAAGTTATATTTTCGGTAACAACAATAAAGGTGAAAGAGTCTATTCAAGCTTCCAATACGTTTACAGAATGCCCGCCCCTCTTTACTCACGTCGTGAATACAGGGACGTAACCATAGTAATGACTCTTCTTCTTGGGCAGCAACAAAATGATTATTTCCCTTGTTTGACAAGCCTTTTCGGTCTTGCCCTCTCGAAGACAGGTCGGTTTGGATTGGTCTCATATACATCCATTTTTTCCGTATCCTTTTCTCGGTTTCTATGTTAATGATCTAATTCGTATCAGTCAGTCATTGACTATGAGAATTTGAGTGAGTAAGCACAATTATAATATTCCAACACTAGGTTGGAGCAGTAAGAGAGTAAAAAGAATGACAATGATTAGATCTACTCGTGCGTTTTATTATTTAAATTGTCAGTGTCTTGTTCTAGCTTTTGTCGCCTAAATTACGTCTCCTCCTATAGTTCCAGGGACGGGGGCGAGGGAGGGGGGGGGCACACATATCCATTTCCCAATCCCTTTGAAACCGTGTGTGTGTCACCGACCCTATCAATAAAATACGTATGCCAAAAATATCGTATTATGGATGCCGCTTCTAATTGTAGTGTTACATTTTAATTGCTAGTACGAAGATTGAACGCACCATGTGTGTGTTGTACGAAGTGCTAGAACCTGAGGACTGCACACCGTTGTGTTTTATCATCAC